GTGGCTCCCGGGCGCCCGGGTCGCTGTCTCTCAAGAGCCCCACCTCAATGGGCTCAGTCACCCGGACAATCGGCAGCTTTCAGCCTTACGTCCTCTCCTCCTCCAGTAAAAGGACTGCTTCGAAAAGCATCTTTTGAAATGAGGATCCAAGTAGATAGAGAGGGACAGGAGTCCAGTCACACTTGTTCCAATGATAGACAAGTCTTTCAGCTTTGTCTCCTGCACACTGCAAGCCGAAAGGGCTGCTACGGCTGTGAGCCCTCCGTCCTCTCATTGGTCATGATAACTGAGTGGCAGAGAACGGTGCTTGTTGGTTTCCTTGACAGGCCACCCTGTAGGTGACAGGTGCAGGCTTGTCTCTACTGCTGCACATATGCAAAGCCAAGACTGACTTTCAGATCTTTGGAAGTCAGGGGAAGTTAGTAAAATTACACTAGAGTAACTTCTGGTGTCCTTGCCATTTTTTACAAGAGTTTTCAGATCTAATAGCAAACTACATATTTTTGGAACAAAATGGTAAGTTTTGCCAACTAGCTGAATACTAGATTCAAAAAAAACCCAAAAAACAACAACCCCAAGCCAACAAAAATTTAATGGGTAAAGCAATTGTCCAGTTAGAATTACTTGTTAAGATTTTTAAATATCATTTTTCAAAACTTTATATCAAGAATCTTACATGTTGCGAGAGTTAACTCTCTCCTCTCTCCAAGTACGCAAGTAATATGCGTGGGCCAAGTAAATAAGAAAAGGTACACGACAAATGACAACTGGTGTCCAATCATTTGCTCTCAGTGGTCATTCAGTAACAGGACTTGGGCACAGAGTGGGTAGAGACAAACATGTCTCATTCAACTTCTAACTGACCCAGGGGCTGGCTTAGTTTAGACCAGTGGTTTTCAAATTGGCTACACATTGAAATCACACCTGGAGAAGCTATAAAAACATACCAATGCCTGGATCCCAACCCCAGATATTCTGGTTTCATTTGGGCCATGGAACTTTTTGAAGTTTCCAGGCAATTATACTGTGCAGCCATTCTTGAGAACCTCTGGGCTATCATTCCCAAGGACTTCAGATAGATGAAATAGATGAAGCTGGTTATAGCACTTGCCAGAAGTTCTGATTCAAAATTCAGATATAAGCTCAACTGAAAGATTTCAAATCACCAGTATCTTGGAATTTCTCTCTTTGGGATAAAACAACAGCAGCAACAAACAATGTACATGCAACCTCCGCCCCATACATACACACAAAATGAAGATTAATTGAGAGTCTGCTCACCAGTTGGACACCTGAGCCATTCTTTACAGTGTCGGTATTAGTGGTTAGCTTGTACAATGCACTATTGCCAGACATCTCTCAAATCACTACATATTTTTAAAACATATTTCTGACTCATTCTTTACTTGGCAACTTCACAAAGCTCAGTCTTCTAGGATTTGAGCTGTTGTGAATGGCATCATCTCTTCCTTAATGGAATGACAGCTTTAATTCATATGGCACAGAATTTATTCCATTAATCCAACTCCACGATTTATTTCTTATAGCAAAAACAAGTCAATTCCTTACTTTTTGTGCTTTGCATTTTTGCATATAAGTTTTGCTTAGTAAACGTAGACAGTTATGCTCACAGGATACTGAAATCTCCTACAATATAAGTAGCACAATCTGGGTGTTTAAAAACAAGACGTTATATTTTTAGTTTCAGTCAGGACCCATTTAGGGAGGAGTTGTCCAAGTTCCCTGAATGACTGGCTCTTTGATGGTCGCTATAAGAAGCAGAGCTGGTTGAGGTTTAAGGAGCTCAACGAAATCCAGCTCCCTGCCACAAAAAGGTCAGTCCTTTACCATGTGACAGAAATCACCGTCAATTCTTAATTGACAATTAGCAGAAAAGGAAATCCAGATTCCCTTATAGCCAGCACTAGTCTTTAGAAACTCTAATAATCAGGAATTCATCTTTATGTCTGATGTAATATACTCATACTGGTCATTAATTAATATTGTGGGGGACTGTCACTGTGGTTTGTCTTGTTTTCATTTCAAAGATATGAAGGTTAGGTTTAGTATACATTATTAATTCTATTATCTCAGTATTGCAATCAATACTTTGGTCTGTTAAAATAGCTTTTTTCCTTCTCTTAGGATTTTCAAACAAAGAATAGAGAATAAGTAATATACATGATAATTTATGAAAACTCCTATTTGCATTATTTATGCAAAATGATTAACAAACATAGAATGTTGCCATGAACACACTATCTATTCATATATCAAGAAGGCTGAAAAAATTACTGTGAAATTGTTGTGAAAGTATTTTGACTTCAGGAGTCTCTAAGGGGCACACCCCAAAAATTAATGGAACGGTCAACTCACGAATGTGTTGGCATCTGCCCCACCACACCAACAGTAGCCTCTTCTAACACTTTCAATCCATGACTTGTGACAGAAGTTCCATGGAGACTGAGATAAAGGCCAGTTATAGTAGAACCTACTTGGGGGATAAGGATGTGGTCTTGTTATTCACTACACGGTATACGCTCAAATATCCATGTGATGGATTCCTACCTTATTGATCCCTAGTGCCAAATACTAAGGCAATTCAAAATACTGCACTTCAAAACATGTCATATTCTGTAACTCTACATCTGTAGAATCATGTATTCCACATCTGTAGAACAATGGATTTTGGAGTTTATTTCAAGCCCCAGCAGCCCTGGAGCTCTCCTGGGAAAGCAGGGTCAAAGGGGTTCTGCAGAATTTCTAGAGGCCTGCAGAACATGGCATTGTCATAACTTGGTCTGTACAACTTTATTGCATGATGAAACGTCTCAATGCCGGAGAAGATAAACTTTCATTCCATACCCCGATGAATGGGCATAAATTAAAAGAGAGGGATTCTGAAGTCACTCTAATTGAAAAGGAGACATTCTTTTGGCAGTTAAATTGAAGTAGAAATAAGAACACCAGTTTCTCACAACAAAATTTTCAAGTATTCTAAGCCCATTTCTTTCACCTACATTTATATCTTTTTAATACCAACATTTTTACTAAAATAATATTTGAAAATCATATATTATTATTTCAAATACTTGAAAATATATTATATTTTAGAGCAAATTAGCAATGTATATCATGGTGTACTTCCTTCAACTCAGTGATGGTCTTTCTATGAATGAATTTTAAGGAAGTCATCTATGATCAGATTAAAGAATATAGACAAGAATGAGAAATAACACAATTTACAATGATAAAAACACTGCAGTTATCCTAAATGTCTCATAATAGGGAAATGGAACACTCAAAAGAGAGAAAAACTAAGTTTTTGAGAAAAGTTTCCAAATCTGGTAACGTAGTTATAACATATTGTTAGGTGAAAAAAGAAGGCTAAAAAGATATATATATGACTTGATTTCAATTTTATTTTAAAGTTTCTTAGGAAAAAAGCTACAAGAAAACATGTTCTTCTGGTGTGTTTCCACATATTAATAGAGACCTGTATTACCTTTATAGTCAGGAAAACTTGATTTAATTTTAATATAAAAACTGGAAGAAAGTGTATCAAAATGTTAATAGTGATATTCTTTCATTGACGGGATTATAGGTGATGAATTTTTAAATACTTTCCCCAATTTCTTTTCTTTTATAGAGAGCATGTTGCACTTTCATAATTAAGAAAAACACACTGCTGGTGAGTAATGCACTTGTTGCTGCATCTTTATTCTTTGCTCATTGGGTACCACTGGCAGTGAGTTAGCAGAACGCAGTTCAGAACGTATTTCTTGAATTCTGATATGCAAAACACTAATGCTTCATTTTAAGAGACTTTGGATTATTTGCCGTGAATTCTAATGAAAACTTTCATTGGGAGAAAGTTGAAAATACTGAGTTAAACAGATTTTCCAAACGATCTGTGTCTTGATGCCAAAGTCCTTTTCCTTAAAGGACCATTAATACCATAAGGTACTTCTCTTAGGCAGCATGTCTTGGTGATGCTGCCAAAACATGAGCCTGAGGTTGGGTGGTCCCAACAATGAGGCACTCCTTGTATTCTAATTATTTTACATGGTAGGTACTGAATAGATACATATCAGGAATATATTTATATGTTTTCTGACTTGTTTCTTCTGGTTTTGACGTTCTTACCTTTGAGTAGAACTCAACAAAGCAAGAAGGAGTTTATTTCTATATAAGCAGAAGGGTAGAAATCCTCCTTTGATTTTTTTTTCTAGTCAAGAAATGAAAAAGATAACCAGTTCTTCCCAAATTATGCAGATATTTTGTTTCATTCTAAAATAGTCATGAGCTGTTAAATGTGTCTGAATTTTAGAATGCGACAATTTGCTTGACGGCTTAGTACAGCTAATATTGTACTGTGTTACCCTCTTGTGAAAGAAACTTCAAAATAATTTTATTTGTATACTTACTAGATTATTTAATATGAGAACTCCAATGGGAGAATTGAAAAAGAAGGCAATAGATGTGCTTATATATTATAAAGATGGCCAATTATAGATAAAAATATTTGACTTACCTGTAAAAACATTGTACAAGGAAGTCACAGTAAAAGGAGCATTTTTTATGACACAGACTCAAAAACAGATGCAGTAAAAGAATGATTTGCAAGTGCCAAAATAACCAAAAGACCTCTTTGTTTCTAGTAGCAAATGCTGATATACAATTCTAAGTATTATGCCTGTTAAACAATATTTAAACAAATACTTTATAAAACCAAGAATTATTTTAAATGTGCAAATTACATGGGGAAAGCATGTCAAAATATCAATCTGATTGTACTGGTTAATAGTCACCAAATAACATTAAAAATTTAATGTCATTGTCCCGATTCAGTTGCCATAATTATTGTTCCCTTATGTTGTCTCCTTATTTTCTCCTTAAATATTCCTTCTTTTATTACAAAGAAATACCTCCAGTGAGGATAACACTAAAACAAAATCAACATAGCCAGAGCAAAGATAAATAAAATTTAAAAAGCCAACCTTTATTCCACTTTGAACAAGTTTGTGAATGTCCAAATAAGGCTCCTTGAAAATTTCTCCTTCAGGGGTAAGTATCTTCACGTAACCTTCTTTTTCCAGAATGAAGAGACGGTGCGAGCCATCCCCACTATGCAGGGCGCTGACAGGCTGGCGCAGCCCACTCACAACCTCCTGAATACAGAAGCAGTTGTGTTTGTGCTTTCTAAACAAATTAAAGAAAACCAGTAAGCTTTTCTTGAGATGAAGGAAGTAAGGGATGCATTTAGCATCCTTTTCAAAATATATTTCCTCTAGGCATCAATGTTTTTGATATTCATTAAGGGCTGCTAACCCAAGGTCACAATATGATTCTTTTACATTCTTTTCAACGGAAAAAAACAAAAGAGCCTTCTAAGAAAGTAAAAGAGAGAATCAAAACATGTATGTATTTTAAAATTTTCTAAGCTCAATATCTCATCTTCCAGTGACAATAATTAAATTAGCTTTACTCACAATAATTAAACCTTACAGAAAGACACTCAGAGAGAAAGATCTAAGATCTACTTACAAAACCCTGATTTGCTAATAATAATTGTGCTGAATATTTCCACAGCACCCTAAGTTAATAACAATCATAAAATTCAAGTTTAAAACTATATTCACAAAATTCACATGAATCATAGAGAAGCCAAGCTCATAACAGAAGATTAGTAGCCTAAACATTAAAAGCATTTAAGCTAATATGATTTTAGAGAAGCAAACTACCAGGAAAAAAAAAAAATCTGGAGGACACAGCTGCTGGACATAAGCACAGACAGTTGATTGACTGTCAAAACCACAAGATTTGTCAGTTTGGGCTTTTTTTTTAAGATTAACGAGTATTTATCTTTATGAACCTGCTCATCTCTTCCACTTTGTCATATTCTTCCATCTGATCCAAGTAGTTAGATGCTGGTCCTCTGATCTGTTTTCTTGGGAAATCTGGAAAGCACAACCCGCCATCTTTCCTTGCATAGTAAAAGCAAAACTCATCAGCAGTAGTTTGAAGGAAACCTTTAAAAAAACATAAAAAGACTCATTAGAAATACTTGGTGTCATAGTAGAAAACCCTATTTCAAAGATTAAATATAGGAAAAGAATTTTTAGAAACTATACGAATATGCTAGGGAAATATATAGACAACTATAAATATATAGACCAGAATGAAGAGACGGTACGAGCCATCCCCACTATGCAGGGTGCTGACAAAAGATATAATCTTAAACTAAATAAAATAAAAGGAAAGAAAAACAGTTTTTTGGCTTGGGATTTCCATTTTTAACCAAAATTTAAGAATTGCAGTAAAAGTGAGATCATATTGTATTGGATATTTTAAAAGGCTCATTTGAAATACACATGATACAAACTCAGCATTAATCTTATTACTGCATTGACTCTATTTTCAAGCTTCCCCATTACCATATGTTGCACTTGTAAACTTATCTGATCACCATGCAGCATTTTTTTCCTACAGTACCAATAACTTCCTAAGAAGGACAACTTAGAATCAAGAAAGAGATAGACAATCAGGTGCCAGTTTTGGTCGTTTTACAATTCTTACCATATTGTCACTCACATATGATTGAATAATCAATCTATTGAATATTGCAAGGTCATTATATGCTATAATAAATGACTGACTCACTATGCAATGATCCAGCACTGAATTGATGCTAATAATACAGCCTCCATTTTCAAATATGTAGGTGAATTTTTCCTACACCTCATCCTTTAATTATGTTTAATGTTTTGATTTTTACCTAACAAATCAGATTATGGTACCATCAATTTTGTGATAAAGGCATCTAGTAACTGAGTGGAAGTTTAGAAATTGTATAACGGGTGCAGGTTTGCAAGGATTTCTAAGAACAAGAATTTGGGGACAACCAAATGAAGCTTATCTAGCAAACATAAAAGATCAAAAGTTTATTTTCTGTGAGCTTGACGTAGGTCCCCTCATACCTAAAACCAGTCTTAGAATCTTGACTTAACTTTTGGATGAAATGCATCACCCCTAAATTTCTGAGACAGACTCTTCAAGGCCAATATCTAACCAGGCTATTGGGAAACATCTTCTCTTCGGGAACCAGGCAAGTAAGAGCAGATGTCCATGGGAGTGTGTGTGTGTGGGGGGGGGGGGGGGGGGGTTGGGGGCGGGGACAGAAAAAAGAGGCCTGGCAGCTGGGAAGGGTGCTCCATGGGAGGGGCAAGGCAGCTGGAAGGAGGTTATCTTTCTTTGAAAAAATTCAGGGATTAGAAATTGGGGAGCAGAATGAAGGCTGCAGCAGCATTTACTCATCTTCAGCAATTCACTGTTGGCAAAAGATAAGTTTATTCCTCATTCTTTAATGTCTAAGCATATGGATGAAAATCGCCTAGGCGTGTTAAACAAGTCTGCTTGAGGTAAAAAGAAGAGAAGGAAAACTGAGTTGTTAAATCAAACTTTTCGCAGTTTGGGGCTAGATCTTTTTTTGGAGAGATATATATATATTTACCATCAGGCGGCAAGATCTCCATGCCAATATTATGCATGCAGGAATACTGTCATACTCTGGATATATTTATAACTGAACGTGCAAATGAGAAATTTTGTTTTAATGTAATGTTTGCCTGCAGGGTCACAGGAAAATTTCAAAGTGCAATTCCGAAGAAATTTCGAGTTTGCGTTTTCAAAAAAAGATCTGTATTCTAGCATTACAGTCTGCAAACCAATACCATGTGAAGGGGAAATTAATGAACAATGCTGGTGGCTGATTCCATTTTACAACGAATTATTAGCTGGGGACGAACATGAGGAAATGAGAAATCATTTTCAAGTGGAACATCTGAAGATTAATGAGGGTGGATTCATAAACTCTGTGGCTCCAGAGGTACTATGCTCTCTTAGCAAATGAAAAAACAAAACAAAACAAAAACCCAGAATGTTAACAATGAATTACCCCTAGCTTTTCACAGAATCTAGACTAAATGAATAAGTGTGAAGGAGAGAGCCAACTCAGAGGACCTTTACACAAAAACATGGGCATTTTTCTTATGATTATGATACTTGAATGGGAATATCTAATACTTTTATTAATACTTTATCTTAAATAATTCAATTTGGGGGACAGTGATGAATAAGACATATTTTGCTGTGAAGACCTAAAAGGGATCTGGTTTCAGGACACTGGGCTAACATTTATTGCCAGGGAAGATGTAATTTACTAAATGGCACCCTTCTGCTTGGAAGAATAGATTGAAGAGCATTTTACTGAAGGTGGGTGCCTAGCTCACCCTGGATCATCATAATATGATCAAGTCTACTAACGATGGCGGTATGCTGATTATTCCAGCAGCTGTTTGGTTTTTGTTTTGTTTTGTTTTGTTTGTTTGTTTTACTCCTGATAATTTATCGAATGTCTTGGACCCGTAACTATTCTCCTGGATTATGAACCCGGTCCTACTATACCACAAAGCACCCTATAAAATACTGACATGGAAATAAATATCCTCTGTGGAGTACTCTAAGCTCTAGCTTTTCTCTCAGCATGTATGATAGAGGAGAAAAGTTATTTTTCCTCATTATATATGATGTTCATCATGATAAGGAAAAACTGAAAATACCCACTGTCAGTAAGGCCTACACTCGAGAACATTTTCTAGCAGAGGTACTGAATTTGGATGTGTCCGTCCCTTCCTTCTGGTCTGCTCTCCGGGGGACTAAGACGACACATATGTAAGATATCTGACTGGGGTCAGGAGTGGCTATGGACTAGAGAAACTCAGTGGAATCAAACCCTTGACCTTGGCCTCATTAGCAACAGGATTAAACCAATTGAACTAATTGTATGCAGACATTTCACACTACAATAACCTACAGCTGAGGAGATGACGGTCTGAGTGATAAAAATCATTATGATAATGAGTGTAAAGGAAGAAGCAAGGCCAAGAGATGTCCCTTGAAATGCCTTCCACAGAGTGTATTATGCTACCACTTAGAGAAAGCAAAGCATCTGTTCTGCCCATCAGAATTCAGGCAGAAGAAAAGACCTGTGGTGTTGAGCAAGGAGCTCCTGTGTCTTTTTAATGAAACATTGGTATTTTTAGAAGTTTTAAGAATTTATTTCCCTAAGTAAATTCACAACGGGAGAATATTTTGATTACTAAAACACTGGTGTAACCTCACTACACTGATTTTTAACTTTTCTCATTTTTGCGTAAATAGACCATAAATATTTCTGAATTAAAGTTTCTAGAAAGTAGTTATCTTTCAAGGATACTTATTCTAAAGCCACTGGCGCTTTCTTAAAGCTTTGACGGGACAGCAAAGGGATAGTCATTTATACGTTTATTTCTTTATGTAGCGGGCATGGGGGAAAACATGAAGATGTCTCTGGAATTATTTTCTGTCTCCCAACTCCTTTCAGCATTAGCCTTCTCTCAGCAAAATACATCCCTTAGGGTAACCTCCTCTTCAAGTTTTTGATTTGCAGAAGGATGAGACTAGTTAAGATATGTTGACTAGTTTCTTATAAAAAAGAACTACAAAGTAGCTGTTTTTCACAATTTTGAACTTCAGAGGAAAGTAAACCATGCCATTAAGTAGACTTAAGAAGGTAAAAACATTATAAATTTGCTTTTTGAGCAACTTTTGAAAAATGAGTATTTGCAAAATGAGTGTTCTAGAACTTTAAAGAGGCTTCTGTGTTGGGGGCAAGGGCTGAGGGGAGGATTACCGTCGTATTCATCATACTTTAGGGAATGGGAACCTACATGCCAAGGATCAGTCTGGCTAACAAATTGATCAACAGAAGTAATACAAAGAGTGTGTTATTACAGCTCACTTTGGGGACAAGCATTTAGAGTGATTATTAGCATTTGACGGATGCAGAGAAGCCCCCTTTGCTTGTTGCTAAAGCCTGCTAGCCTGTCCCTAGAAAGCCCCCTCGCTGCTCCATCCACCACTGGAGTGGGGCTTTCATCTGGTTATCTTTCAAGGCAGCCTGGGTGGCCACCAAAAGCACTTGACATCTTGATGCACTTCAGCAGTTTTACATATATACAAACTTTGTAGAAAAATAAATTTGTCATTCGTCACCACATATGTTGTTCTGGGGAGCGAGGTGCTTGCAGTTCTGGCTCCTGAGCTGTTTGCTGCGCTCTCTCTTTCAATGGATATCGCTTTTTGTTGGTTGTTTTGGAAGCTAAAATAACTTCAGATACATGAAGACCCCCATAGACAGGTCCCTCAATCCAGCATAGTTGTATTTATCTCAAGTAGATCAAGGTAGACAAAAATACTATGTTGGTATCACTTTCAACTTACAGCAGTAAAGGCAACCCTTCAAGACCTGAAATCTGCAGCAAACCTTTATGGGACCTAATCTGTTATCACTTCTCGGCAGGCCATCTAGGCAACTGTGACCTATTCTACTTTACTTTGGGGAATGTGATAAAGAGGAAGAAACAGCTGGTTTAAGAAAGACTTAGAAACATGGCTGTAGTTTATAAAGACAATAATAATATTTTCACATTGAATGGGTTTAGATATGTGTTATGGTACACCAAAGGAAGCAAGCAACCCTAGTCAAAATGTTTTCTTAGGTTATTAAGAGAGCTCTATAAAAAAATACAAAAAAATTCTACGCTTTTCTGGGTCAGAGAGAAAAGTAAAATGGTATAGCAATGACAAAAAATTCTCCAAGCGCGTCCTACAGTTCTTAAAGAGCTTGTCTTTTCCTTCAATACTATTTAGTTTTATAAACTATTAGCTTCTGTGGATTTCTTTCTGTGTGATTTGCCTAACTAAACAGAATCTATCTCATTAAATTCTTTTCTACGTCTACGTTGATTCTTCCAACCAAAGCAATAATAACCAGAGTTTACAAACTTTTGATAGTAAAATTAATCAATGCCCAGGAATCTATATGTTTATTAGGGTCCAAAATATGATAGTGACCAGGTATATCTGGGACACTGTAGCATAAGAACTTCTATGTAGATCCTGTCACCTTCTCGTTGCACAACTTTGGTTACAACATTTCACTTCTCCTTGTGCTCCGTTTCCTCAACTGTCAAACGGAGACGACCCCATATTTCCTACCTACTTCACAGGGTTTTTGAGGAGCAAATCAGTCATTATATGTGAAAGTGCTTTGTCAGGTGTTAGTTTTTGGATTTCTAATCATACTTTACTTAAGGAAATACCTTAAAAGTTAGTGGACAGTCTGCATTTATATATCCGCTGTGTAGAAGATGAGGCTGTCTCAACATTGATGCAAATGGGTAAAGAAGACAGCAACAAGAAATTTGTACCGATAATCCAGTGTGTGTAAAGACTACCAACTGTATGATCCGTTTAACAAGAGATGCAAAACATTTCATCAAAACAACATACCGTTTGTAGACTGAAATGACAGTAATCCTTTCAGCAGCAATAAAAGGTCACAAATTTAGAAAGGTTAATTATCAAGTAAAAACAGGTATTTTGAAAGGCGAGATAAATTTTACACCCTTGTAAGCAAGCATTGAAGAACAGGTCTCTTGTAAGGATTTTCTGCAGTAGTTTATTTCCTTCATCCATTTTTTTACCTGGAATGTGGCCCCGGCAAGTATAAAAGAATTCTTTGCAATAGTCTTTGCAGAGCAGGGGAAGTTCTAGGTCTCTTTCCAAGGCTTCTCTCTCAGGCGAGTGGAACAGGCTCTGGGAGTGTGGAGAGCACAGTGCACACTTGATTTCTTCCAGTAACTTCCCGCACTCTGTGTTGTTGGTGACAGAAAATATCTGAAAGCCACAAATCAGAAACACACTTCTTTAGTGGTGTGAAGTTAGGTTTAGCTATATTTTCTTGTAATCACATAAGTAGAAAAGTATAATTTAGCCAATTCAGTTGTCTGAAAAGAATTCTCCTATCAGAATACAGAACGCCTTTATGAGGATACAGTCCAGTCTCTTGCGTTGGGATGGAAAAGCAGAGGGAGAGATGCATGAAAACGCTTCTTACTCTTGCAAATCAAATCCGTGCACCTGTCTTTCAGGTGTGAAAAATTAAACTCAATTATATTTAGATCCTTTAACTCTTTTATCACTTTACTCAGCCTCAAGTTGTATCCTGACTGATATTTAACTTTGAAACTCCAAAACACCTTTATCTAACTGTATGCAAAGGAGAAGTTTTTAAGACATAGCGTATTTGTGCTTTAGGTGAAAATCTATTTCACTCTTGAAATTCCTAATATTATGTTCTCAAAAATGTTACTTAAGTTATATTTTCCTAATTTCAATTAATTTTCAATCTATGTATTGCACAGGGAGAGTTTTCTAAAGGAGAAATCTCTCTCTTTCATGTTCTATAAAAATATCTGAAGCCGAATAAAACAGGTTTAAGACCAATTATTATTATTAATTTCATTAGAGCCAGGAAAAACCTTCTAACTAGTTCCTCAGGTATGTTATATGCATGAATAAACACGAGAGTTTAATAAAAGTGCTTTTGTCTACTATTTAGTGAGTTCTAATGAAAAACTGCATGTTTTATCCCTATTTATACAGCATCACGTCTTTTACTTCAGCAAGACCAATTTGGGAGTTACTGATTCACTGAGATTAGTAACTGGTAGATAAAATAGGTCTCCAGGTCTAGTATTAACTTTAAAAAACTGACTTCAGGAACTCCTCTAATAAATATATAAGATAATAATCAGCACAATATTTGAGACACGAAATGTAGTGCTATCTAAATCAAGCATTGATTTTTCATATTAAAAAACACTATAATGGGGTTGAATTTTATACCTTTTCTCAGTTTATATAACTATATTTATACTTAATTATTTCTTTAGAACTATGAACTGAAGTTAACATTTTAAACTCTAGATCATTGTTTAAAGCAAACATTTCATTCACAAGTTGAGGTTCTAATTTGTCTAAATTGTATGACTTCTATTTTTTTAGGATAAAGGTAATCTAGATGATCACAAAATTTGGATCTGAAAGAGCAAGGCAACTAAAAAAAATCACTGAACACAAGCATGCTAAAATTTCACCATTGTAGTACTTTAAAGTCCAACAAAAGTTACCCTATTTCGGAAAAATATATATATGCACACATAATGTGTTGTAACTATTCATGATATTCAGAAAAGTTTTTATTAATCACAATTATATTTACATTTTAATTTTTATCAATTTACTTAAATAACAATTGCTTAAATGGTTAAGGTTTTCTAAAAGGAAACATACACCAGACACTTAGAATTTGCATTCCAAGAATGTTTTAAATGTCTTTTATTGTCCATACTCTGGCAGACCTCACCAGATCTATTCAATATTAATACTGTCTAACTTTGTTCGGTTTGTTTATCATACAGCAGTCCACTAAGAACAAAACAGCTACAGGATGCTGAAGCCACCTCTTTTGCTGGCTGAAAAACCGGAATGTAATTACCTTTGGTTTTATGGAGAATATGCACGCTCCCACTTTTTATAGCTGAAACAAAATGATCCCCGTATACTCTCCCAGCTGCTATCCAGGAAGAGCCTGATTTTAGTGCCTAAAGAATTTTGTCTTTTACAATTTTTGGAATGTGTCCTGGCCACAAGATCTCTCATCAAAAGTTTTAGAAATAGGATTCAATAAATTATCTGAAATCAAGTATAATATTATTCTTTGTAAAGTTTCATGCTGTTCCGGCCCAGCAGGATGGTAACATTTTGCTCTGTGTGAGGTCTGCAGTGTAAATACCTATTTGAAGATAGATAGAGCCATCATTCTGGCTTTGGTTTCAATGAACCAATAGTCTTACTGAAGTCAATTAAGCTGACTCAGTCCAAGCTGCAACACTGTTTTAGACAGATGAGTCCTGGTGTGGGGAGGATATTTTTTCTTCTATTTTGCCTATGTGTCTGTGTCTACAGAGGTCCTTAACTTTATGTCTGACAATGTCATCAATCTTAAGAAGAAATTTAAGCTAATTTCCTGTTTCGATTTTTAAAAGCCATACACGAAACCATCAAATTACAGTGGTTTAAACTAAATATACTTTGGACATCATGTAAAACTTCGAAACATTATTACAGCATGCCTAGTAATGATTGTGGCTGTTGCTGACTAATTTATAACATCTGGCAGGTCATCCTTTAATCTTTCGCCACATGAAAGTAAAATCCATAGAAGAAAGGTAAGATAAATCCTGGAAGACACGGGGAAGCGTGCCCTACAACTATAGCTTATCAACAAACAGTAAAATGGGTGACAGAGACCTTCTGTATTTCTCTTTATTTATCAAGTAACTAAACAAAGAGGATAAAAAGGCACCCACATGGGTCTGATGAGAGGACAAAAGGAGAAAATACATGACAGTATATTAAGATGTCGCCTTAAGATCACTTGGTACACAAAAAGTTATTTCTAAAAATCATATGCCTACAAGGTTCTTCAGCTGTTGGGTAGAACACATGCGTCTCTGGACTATGGTGCTGGATTATGTCATTAAAGAGTTCAGTTTCAATTTTAGGCTAATATGTAAATAGATCATTGTCCTAAGGCAGCTGTTAAAGGGACCCCAGGATGAGTTATTTGTTTAGTTGGATGTGTTCGACAATAGCCTTTGTCCCTGAAAGAGCCAGAGCAAACAAATGATTGTAAAAGGGCACACTTGAAAACAATTACTTTTCACCCATTCCTTGACAGCTTCGGCTGTGAAACCACCCAAGGTAGAGAGAGCTTCTATGCCTCTGTGGCTACAAGTTAAGTTTTAGAAATGGGGGTGTTTCAGTTGATTGTGGATTCAATTTGGCTAATGGGAATTAGATTCTTTTAGCATGTTGTATTTAGGAGCTGCAAAAAATATTGCTGAGACAATACAACTTTCTAAATTGTGGCAGTACTCATGTATAACAGTAGTTAACCATCTTGTTACAATACACAAAATTTTTAAAATATACAAAAAATTAAAATATAAAAGCATAATACCATGGCTACAGAATTGAACTCAATGCTAGTTCATTACATTAAAGAAAATGTGTTGGTCCAGAAATTGCATTTAATTGCACTGCTGAGCATGCTCAATATTCCTACCTAGTTTGCTACTATCTATTTGTTTTGAAGTTTCTTCTCGCAGGAAAAAGCTACTCCTATAGTTTCCTGAAAAGTTGCAGACAGCTTTCTGGGGAAAAATTTTTTTTCATAAACAAAAAAGGGCCCTTTCAAATAGCCATCATCTCTCCTGTACACACATTATGAAATAAGACCCTAACATATATTATAAGCCAGGAAGGCTTAGGGGAAAAAAGGGAAACACTGAAGTTTATTATAAAATAACATGTTTTAAAAACTATTAAAACCTGAGAACTAATATAGGTCAAAAATGCATATGCAGAGCTATATCAAATCTCTGTTTTGAACAATTTGAGTATTGTTGGTTTATAAACCACTTGTAATGGAACCAGCAAAGTCTAGTGTACCAAATTTAATTCAGACACATTTTCCAAATGAGTAGGGGTTTGTTGGAGATTGGAAGCACGTAAAACGGAAAGGAATGTGGATAGCTAACGTGGCAGATTGCTTCCTAAAGAATGATTTCTTTAAAAAAATTTTTATATAACATCTCTTAAGGGTTATAACTCCCCTCAGTACCGCCCGCCCCTAGCTCCCCACTCTATCTAGATAAGAACAAAATTTTCATTCCTCCTGTTCTTGTAAGTTCAGGGGTCTGCAGATCATTGGTATACTCATGGTATACATTGCACACAGGGAAACTTAATGGCAAATATTTCTAAACCTTCCTCTGAATTTCCTGGTTCTTTGGGGCTCCTGGTAAAACCCTGCAAATGATGAGAATGTAGCTATTTTGAGATTTAATTCAATTACAACACAGGAGCTTAAGGACATTGTTTGGAATAAAACGCTGGAATATCTGTTCTCTGAATCTCAGACTACTGCTGCATATGGTAAGAATAAAGAGAGAGTTGCAGCTGAAAACCTGCAGCAAGACAGTTCTCACTCATCTGGGAATAGAGCGAGTTGGACAAATGCTCCCTCAAAAGGCATGAACATTTGGACAGAGCTGGGGACTGAAAGAGAATGATGTTCTCTAGTTTCACCCATTAGTGAACCAACTAACAAACACAATGGTGTTGTTGTTATTCTTTTGCCATAAGCAACAGGACTCTGTGTGTGGGCAGCAGTTTAGTGGGGAGGAGGATAAGTCGACCCCTTTTTGTCCTATTGATTTTTTCCTATTTGCATGACTTGAGCAAATTAAATGATGCAATATGGCTTTTTGTTACAAAACAAAGTGAGAGATACCACCCAGACACATATGTTGATTCGTAGGAGCTGTTTACATGAGAATAGAGTGAAATCTACCGTGAACTGAGCATAAAAATTAGATTCAGCCTGGGTATTTTTTTTTTTTATTATGCCTGGGCCAGCAAGACTGAAGCACAAGTTTTCCAAGTCTCTCAGACCTTGACAACTGCAGTGTTGTAACAGAGGAATTCTTAATTAAACCTAAAATGAGGAAGGGGTGGGGGAGCAAAGACACCTGATTGTTTATTTCACGTGCAGTGATTGTTAATGACGTGATCCCTCAGTCTTTCCTTGAGTACAGTAGATAGCACACATTACTGCGCCCCAAGGCAAGAAAGATGTTGCAAATTCAAAAATAAGCCTGTCTTTTCACTCAACCAACATTATTTTCATATTTGTTTAAACTGATTAACATAAGGAAAATATAAATGCCATTACTCCTGAAACAAGTTTCTAGAGCTCTTCCTAGACAACTATCATTGGAAGCTTGAATATATAATGTTACAAAGCATTACACACTGAGACGGAGAATCGTCTCAGTTTTACGTGATAAATACGCCCCAGTAAAATCTTCCGCTAGTTTTTCGGGGTTTTAACGGGAGTACCAGGAGTTCCTTTTCGCTCTTTAACTATTGCAATGCAAGACAACCCCCTCCGACGGGGCTGGGGATCATAAACCAACCATGCTTCAACATCCTTTACGATTCAATCCGCTCCCTAACCGAGCACGTGGAGAAAACTGCACAAATCTTTTTGCCCTAGAAAAATAAACCGGAAGCCACAGTCAACCTTAATTTACAGTTTTACCACAGCCAATGCCCGATTAGATCCCAAACACACTGTTAAACGTGATTCTTTTAAAATATTTACCCAGCCCAGAATGCGGGTACCGCAGAAGCCTCTCTTTTCTGAGACAGGCAGTTTTGCACAGCATCCCGACCGCGGACTCTTGGGGGCGGGAGAGGTATCTGCGCACCCCAGAGGAACACACAACGGAATCACGCTGGCGCTTTACAAAAGTTATCAAAAAGAACTCCCCAAACAAGTTTTGCCCTTCTTACGGCCACCAGCATTGCCGGAGCCACAGGGAACCCACCCAGCCTGCCAATCTCGCATCTGCGAGGCGGGTGCGTGCCTACCTTGTTATCCAGCCGCCCTAGCCCCGGGCTGTCACTCCGCAGGCAGCAGGACAGCCGAGGGTAGAAGGCACCGCACAGCATCTCTCCCCCACTCAGCAGCTCCAGCTGGGACATCATCCGCCTATCTCTCCTTTTCAGGCGCTTCGGGGGGTTCCCATTCAGGCACCTTCTTCTCCTCGCTCCGCTCCCTTCGCTTCTTTCCCCAAACTTAGCATCTCCTTCAAAGAAGCCCAGAGCCACGGCCAGCAGCAGCAGCTTAAAGGAGAGCATCTTCAGCATCATCTGCCCCGAGCGGCAGGGGCTGGGCGCGGGAGGATGGGGGGGAACGCCACTGCCCAGCAGGGGCACTAGGGCGCAGCTCCAGGAGCAGGCTGCGGGGCGGCAGGACGCTCGAGAGGCAGAGGGAGGTGGCGGGGGCGAAAATATGTAGAGCGATGCAACTTTGCGAAAAATAAAAGACGAGGCGATGGGTCCAATGCCTTAGGGGAGCCCAAGGAGCGAGATAAAGTTGTGCGGATGACACCGCTTGCAGTTGTGCCAGTGTCAACTGGGTTAGGGGCTTTCTGCTGCGGCTGGCAAGTGGGAGGAGGAGAAGGAGTTGGAAGAGGAGGAGGAAGAAGAGGAGGAGAAGACGGCCACAGAGGTTCACTTGTCCATGTAACGGGAGTTGTTTAGGTGAGACAGTAGCAGGAACAGAAACGACGACGGCGGCGGCGGCGGGGCAGGCGGAGGCAGGGCCAGCGCTGGGCTCTAGATGATGCTGAGGTCTTCTCTGCCGGCGGCTGCAGCTTCTCACACAGCCTCTCATGTTTCGTTCCCTCTTTTCTTCTTCTTTTTAACTAGCGCGCGGGGAGGTGCTGCCACCGCGCGCCCCTTGACGTCACCGCTTCTCGCGCGCCCCCGCCCGGGCTGGGGGGAGGGGAGGGGGCGGCCGCGGCGCGAGCGCGTCCCCCAGGCCGCCGGCCTCCGGGATGCGGCGGGGAGGGGCCGCGGCCCGCGGCGCCGGACGGAGGGGCGGGCCGGCCGAGCCCTACGGAGCCAGCCTCGAGGGCGCGGGACCCGGCGGGGGGCGCGCACGGCCCCGGTCCTCCCGCAGGCCCGCTGGGGACGAGGGCGCGGCCAGGAGCTTCCCGCCGGCTCGGCTCTTCAGCCCGCAGCCCCTCCGCAACACTCCGGCCTCAGGGCGCCGAGCTGAGGCTCCGAGAGCAAGTGAGTAAGAGTGGGCTGCGGGAGGTGAGAAGGGAGGGGCCCCTTCCAGGGCCTCCCCTACCCCGGCCCCGGCCCGCCCCTCGCCCTCGGGGTGGAAGAATCGGGAGGGCTGGAGTTGGCGGGAGGAGCTTTTCGGCCCCTTTCCCTCTCCTGGTCCGCACGGACTCCCCCTGTTCCCTGGTGATTTTCAGTGTGAAGTTCGAGTCGGTAAAGATCGTCCTTGGGGTCTCATTTAGAGGAGGGGGGACAACCCAGATGCTGCGAGCCGCTGAGTAGGTGGAGATGGCTGGAAGACTGTTTCGAGAAGAGGTAGCATCCTTGCCTAAGGTCCTGCACGCTACTTACTGAAGCGGCACGAGCGCGTGTGCGTGGGATGGGGTGGGGCGTCGGGGCTGAGGATGCCTCCCGGAGAGTTTGCCCCCGCCTGGGCGGCTGGGCTGGGGCGCCCCTCTTGGGGACCCCACCTGTGCCCGGGAGCTCAGCCGGGCTCCTTTGGCGTGCCCCCCTTCCACCCCCGGAACGCAGGAAGGCAGATTCCCCGGCCCCAGGTGGAGGCCAGGAGAAGAAGCTGGCTGCGGAATCAGCGTTCATTTTAAATGGAAAGAGAAAAAAATTCCCGCGGACGTTTCCCCAGGGGTGTAAATAAGAGGCGTTAGTTTTGGAGGAAGGATTAGTAGCAGGTTTGTGGTCGTCCAGAAGCGGGATGCCCTACGTATCCCGCTTACCTAAATAAATTGACCTTTCCGTCAGCTAGACAAAGTCTGCGTAAGGAAAGTGTTTGTAAAAAGATCTGTAAGTTATCAAGAGGGATCACTTGACGTTTACGGGATCCCAGCAAGCTGGCATCAGGACAAACCTCTATCGTTTTGCGCGCAAAATGTGCTTTCTGCCCGCTTGAGTATTTAACAGGGGAGCTGATTTTCTGGTAGATGGGTTTTGAAGAGGAGATAAGGCAGTTTACCCATTTTGGCAATGGAGGAATGTTCGCCATATTTGGATTTGCTTCGTTTCTGCCACATAGGTTTCACCAAGCTAATGTGAAAGTTGGTGATGGTGAGGTAGAGAGCTGGTTAAACTGATTACTGTTAAAATGCTCGCACTGGCCAGATAAGGCTTCTGCCCCTTTCACGTCCTGGGCCTGGATATCCTAGTGGGATGAGGTTTTTCCCAAAACAAGTGACCGATTAGAAGAGCTGAGAAGAATCTGCTGGGATGTCTCGTCCAGTCCTGAGCTCAGTGTAGGACCCCAGTGATACGTAATGTTTCACCCCGAGGCTGTCGTGTAGACAGGACTTTTTATACACGTGATTGCAAGTGCTACTTCTGATCCCACAGACTGCTTTATCTGACATTCTTCCTGCTTTGAGGACTTTTAATATAAAATAAATCAAAGAGCCATAAGGACTTTAAGACTTTAAACTCTCATTTAGTAAACAGATCTCGAGATGAATCCCATCAAGATTAAATTAGTAGCCCAATCTCATCTAGTGAGATAGTTTAAAAACCAGGACCCAGGAACCCAGTCTAAGTTGCTTTCCGCTGTGCAAGGCTTTATTCCCAAGTACCAGTTTTATGTTCTTTTTCCAAAATAAAAATCCTTTTAAAATTATATTTCAGTGGTTTGAACTCCCATTCCAAGTGATGAACTCATCTTGGTAGTTTTGGAACAGACCTTCCTTATGGTTTGTACTTCAAGATTAAGAACTTCATCTTGAGTAACTTAAGGTAACTTAAAGGTAACTTAGTTTGGGTTTTAAAAAATTATGCAGTGGTTATAACCTATGACCCTAAGTTTCGAGATAGAGAGTTTCTAAGGGATTATTGAAATGAGACAAACTTGGTCTTTCTTGATACACAGGAGCTAGAATTGATCCCATCTGTTGTTAGTCATGACAGTCAATAAATCCGGTCACTGATGAAATAGCCGAGCTTATTCTCAGTGCCACTAGTAGAATTTCCCTGTAGTCACTGAGCAGTGTTACACAAGTGAACTGACTTCTTACTCATTTTTTGCAGAGGGAAATTGCAAAGCCCACCTGCAGCCAGCTTGGCAGCATAATTTTATAGGACTCAAGAATCAACGCTGGATTATTTCCTAAGACTGAACCTTGAAAGCCCACTTGCAGGCTGCACAGCCATCTGCACCCTTGAACATGAAAAATGGTCTTCTTCCATCAGGGAGAACTCCTTCTTCAGCTAAATCATCAGAAATGGTCAGAAGACGGGACCCCTACCCGATCAAACTCATCCAGACAAATGAAATTGGTCTTTTTCAGTAAGGAATGGAGCCGTATCAAGGTGGCCAGGTTGCCATCTTCTGCTCTCACCACCATGGAGCAGCCACCTCTGGGACTGACACCCTCGTGGCACCCACTGCCATGCCCTATTCAGGAGACCTGGCTGAGGCAGCTAATGGGAGCTGAAATCCTACCCAGGCTCCACTAACCAAGCAGAGTTTATTGCTGCATGGCCATGTCTACCCAGACGATGTGGCTCCTTTTTCTAATTTGCGCCAAGGCACCTTGTATGGACTGGAAGCAGCTCTGACCGTCCTGCTTTCACATCCCCCGTTCCTATCCAGGATTATATTCCTTACCTTGGATGGATTAAAGATTCTCACGAACAAATTAGGTTTATTGTAAAACCTATTGAAATATTGTTGAATATATTATTGAAGTATTTGATCCAAATTGAAATTAATTTCATAGGTAAAGCTCCAAATATTACCATGGATATGAATTATGTGTGTATATCTTTATATATGTATGTGTATATAGTTGTGTGGATACACATTTCTATGTATCTGAAGTTAGCACAACTTCAATTTGGTAAATATTTAAAATAAAACCATTTTGGGCATTGGAATCAGTTTTATATATGGATTTCTGGCCTTCACAGAAATATGTACTATTTAATTCCATTTCAACAAATATATATAAAGTGTTAGGCACTGTGCTAAGCAATATGTATACAGTAATGAAAAATAATGCAAACACCTTGCCTCTAGGTAGTATAATCTAGTAAGGAAGACAAATGATAAGGTCACAAATAAACTTATGGTTATAAATTGTGGTAAGGGCTATGAAAGAAATGCCAAGATGGAGAATGACAAGGTACATAGATTTCAGATTAAGTGACTAGAAAAAAACCTCCCTGTGAAAATGGTATTTCAGTTGAGACCTGAGGATGAGTTAGAAGGAGTTTATGAAGTAGCTGGACCCTGTCGTTTAATATATAGAAGCATCTGAATTCAAAATAGAGTATGATACATTTAAGGGAAAGCACAGAAGAAAGTAGATCACTGAGAAAGGAGAGACTACAGGCCAAATTCATAGTGTCATTTGTAGACTCCAGGTCACTATTGAAGTTATGCTCATGTATTGTCATTTCCTTTTGCGAGTATCCATTAAAATTTGTCTTTCTTTAAATCCTGGCTTTTCACTCAACTTCTAGGAATTATTTTAGTTCAAACAACTTTTCAGCCATTGCGTCTCATCTAATCGGCACTTATGTATACATTTTCTTTTGCACATTGTTGATAACTGTCAGATTTTTTTCATACTTGGGAGTTGGATAGCCATGAGATTGTAAGCTCCCTGAGGGCAGGAGTTACATTTCCTTCTTTCAGCAAAGAGTCTAGTTCAGTCTCATGGTGCAGTGACCAACCTCTAAATAAATGCTGCTGATTGGCCAGTCTTGTTTGACTTAATACTTTTTAAAGGTATAAAATGGAGGAAATATTTCCATTATAAAAATTTTAGATTGTTAAATGGAAGAGAACACACAACCTAAAATGCAGCATCATTAAGGAATTTCAGGAAGACATTGTTATAAAGTGGTTCCACAGAGGAAAGGCAGCCAACAAAACCAAAGAATAAATACACATCTTAAAAAAAAATTAAAGATTAGCGGATGGCCCAGTGGCGTAGTGGTTAAGTTCGTGCACTCCACTTTGGCAGCCTGGGGTTTGCAGATTCAGATCCCAGGTGCAGACCTAGCACCGCTCTTCAAGCCATACTGTGGCAGCATCCCACATAAAAAATAGAGGAATATTGGCAGAGATGTTAACTCAGTGACTATCTTCCTCAAACAAAAAG